TTGATTGTCGCATGCCTCGTCCTTGTTATTGTGTATCTACTCTTCCGCTCATTCTTCTTCTGATAAGTCTGTCTTCCAAATGAGTTGTAGAATAAAAAAAAACTATTTAAAAGTGTTTATATTAAGTTTTTTTGAATAAAGATTATTTCTATTTCTATTCGTAATTCCTACTGAATGTGTTTATGTTAATGTTGTATTAGACCCTGTACATTAACAGTACATAACCATTTTGTACATTAGTCTGACCACAGCATTTCATAACAAAGTTATCTGCTTGGTTACAGATATACTAGAAAGTGGGCAGGAAGGAAATTGTTAGTTATGGGAGCTAGAGGCCTCTTTGACGTATCAATCTTGGAAACCAATGTAGTTAATTCGTCACTTTGTACTAACTTACAACCTCGTGCTCATCTTATCGTTCTACCTATATTGATGCCCCGTCAGTAGCCGTTAGCGCAGGCGGGCTGCATAATTTCGTTATAATTGATTTAAAAAATACGAGTGACATCTGACTAAAATACTAGCAAATAGCACTCCATGCCACGCAGTCGTCTTTGTCCTAAGTAATTTTCTGGTATGTACTTTTGCTGCTCTCCTTACAGACGTTTCAATTCAAATTACAGTAAGTGCTGAAGTAGTGTAATTATAAAATTGGTGATATTATTACGCAAAATTAAGTCTAAGACCTTCTTCAAGCCCTATTTTACAATTCCAGGCACGAAACCACTTTGTGACCTAGATTAAGCACAGCTTTATGTAACTGCCAGGACTCGTCTGTCTCTATCGCTTGAGAGATTTCAACATTCTCATTCTGTCCTTCATTCTTTTAATCGAGTATTCTACTAACAAAATTTGTAGGCAATAATTTTGTTAAAATAATATATATTATAATGGATTTTATTTTATTTACACCATATTTATATAGTTCCAGTTATTCTCATAAATTATTACGTTATTATTAAATACGCAGCATGCATTTTAGAGAAGTTATTACTAGTACCTAAACTAGTAATAAAATAATAAAGTAATAAAACAAAAACAGTGAAATTAATTACAGGATAAGTGACATCTTACTATTCTAGATCACCAATACGTGAGTGGTATCATGGGCGTCACATGATAACGTGATGGGCGTATTATTCATGTATATAAACGACAGTTACCACCTACATAAGTGAGCTGTCAGTTTATTTGCCATTTCAATTATATAAATAATGGCAACGTATAGAAGAAAATATAAGTCAAAATAATTTATTCATATACGACGTCTTGTTTTTCATATGGAGTTATACATTGTTTATCACTATCCCTACCATCTAATTCAGCTAGATACATCGCGTCATAAATACTGACAAAAAACGCAACTGCTGATTTTTTTTTTAATTTTATAATCGACTTGAGAAATCATGAATAGGAAAATACTAGGCAAAAAAAATATTACATAATCTTTCCTTTGCCTTGTTTTTATGTAAGAGATCAAGCTTGCCAACTGGTAGTAACATTTCAACAACAGTTTGTAAAATCATTTATAAATAGACTAGTATCAGATATCTACGACACGTTTTAAACAGGGTAAGAAAATAGACAGCTGGCAAGTTCCAGACAATAAATTTCAAACTCGAATCAACAATATATAGGATTTTAAAGGTAAAGAACTACTTATATATAAAATTCTCGTGTCACAATGTTAGCTACAATACTCGTCCTAAACGGATTGACCGACTTTTATGAAATTTTATATGCATATTCAGTACGTCTGATAATTGGCTACTATCTATTTTGCATACCCATAAGTGATAAGTGTTGTCCATCCCTAACATTTTTTTTGTGTTATAATGTGGCATTAAAAATACATACATAACAACATATATATAATATACTACCCCAAATTTTCACCCTTTCACACCAATCCCTATTTTTTAATAGCGATTTTAATTTATGTGGCAAAATGCTGGCATCTGCGAGGTTAAGTAATGTATATATAAAATAAAATAAACATGATCATAGTTGACTTCATTAAAGAAATATAATTTCTTTAACTGAGAGTTCACAAATAAATTACTATAATTGGCTCATTTATATAATGTGTATAAATCTTTAATTAACTTGAATAGTTATCGTTTAATGTAGCCTGTGACAGATTAAATAAATCTCCTGGTTTCAAATAATAGAAAAGAAATTCCGTGTGACTATTCATCACCAGAATGTAAGGTCGAGCATGGCCTGAACATTCTCATTCGATTAAATTATTTATTTTTATTTCTCTGTACACTTACCTGGTTTTATGGCGCATTTCGCATACAAGTGCGTGAGTTCTGATTTCCATTGGTCTTTGATTTACTTTGTTTTTGGATGAGGTATAATAAATGTTATATTTTTTTAACTAAAAGGAATAATCAGAACAATTCTTACAGCGCCATCTGGGACTAGATGGCGCTGTATGAATTGTTCTGATTTATTCCTATTATTATTATATATTCCTTTTAGATGAAAAAATATAATATTTATTATACCTCATCCAAAAACAGCTAAGCAGAACTTGTGTTGTGAAAAGACAGAAAGTTCCAACATACAATTATATATAGTATATATACAATCACATTTTCGTTGACTTAAACGTCCATTTAAAAATCCTAACAAACAAAATCATGTCCTATATTCCTAACCCTTCTTATCCCTATTCTAAAAAACTTCCGTCACGAATGTACATGGCTTTATAAAGTTTCTAGCGCATAAAAGAAGAAAAGGAAAGAAGAAGGGAGAAGAGAGGGAGATATGACATTATTTCTATTTTGATTTTTAAAAAAATCAATATGGGAATGACAAGTGTATTATTATTCACTATAAGGGGTTAAGTGGTGAAAGTATGATTATTTCATTTAATAAACTGCTTTTTTTTTAAACTGAGAAGAATATTCTCGCTTTCGTAGATTCAAGCGTCGCCGACCGTATCCAGAAAAGTACAGCATTAGAAATGCACCCCGCAGTAAGGAGGCTTTTATGAAATTAGCTCGCATTTGTAAGGAAAATGTAGCTCCTGAATTTTACACTAGGGCTCCAATCAGCTAAGTGCATTTACATGGTGTGATGCAGATTACTACAGTTCGAAACTTTTCTGCTTAAACTCTCCTATTAGATTGGACTGTTAATATTCATTTACTCATTTCTAAGTTGCTACAAGAACTGCATTTATTTTCACATCAGATTTCTTGCGCGGAAAAATAAAGTGTAATAGAATATATGGCTGAGTTGTGTAACAAAATAAAATTGTTGTAGTACAGATAATATATAATAATAGTCGTATCGTGTAATGTAGTTACTAGAGTGGAATATATGTATATGGGCTTTTCTACAATATTTCACTCATAATGCATTAAGGGGATTGTTAGTATTGTGGACTAACCCATTGCTAGCACGTTCTCCATGGAAACCATCGTGGTGAATTGTCAATTACATAGATGGGCTAACTGACCTGACTTCATGCTCATTTTATCATCCTCCACTGGTATTCCGCCAGCGTAAACCGTTATCGCAAGCGGGTGCATCTTTCCATTATCATCAATAAAAAAACACACTATTCGTGAAACTTCAAATGCCTGTAGTCTAAATATATATAACTCAAAGTTGACTGACATAGTGATCTATCAACGCACAGCCCAAACCACTGGTCGGGCTGAAATTTGGCATGCAGGTAGATGTTATGACGTAGGCATCCGCTAAGAAAGGATTTTGTTTAATTCTACCCCCAAGGAGAAAATAGGGGATGAAAGTTTGTATGAAACTTTCTCAATTTTAAACCTAAACGAGCTAAAACTTTGCATGGATAAAACTACTATGACATAGGCATCCCCTAAGAAAGGATTTTGATAAATTCCATTTGTGCTGGCCGCTGCCCCCGGGAGTCGGAAGGCGCGTCGGCAGGCACCGAGTCGCTGGTACGCCCGGACGTCAATCTATCCTCCTCGAGGTGAGAGAGTGCCCTTTTCAAAGCACTCCCTACCTGAAGGGCCTCAATCAACGCCGCGGGCGCGTTGCGGGTGAAGGACCAGGTGCCTTTTTATAGGCACCACGATGATTCGTCCTGAGAAGGACGTTTAAACGATGCTGATGCGACGGTGACACGATGCGATGACACGATGCGTGAAGAGGATTGTGATGACTATACTTAACGACGGTGATGATGGACGGGCAGTGAATGAGAAAACGGTTCTTGTGGTTCAGAATGCAGAGGCGAGGAGAATTTCTTCAGTGGTTGATTCCTTTTCAGGTCGATTTCGCTATCCGAAGATCAATGTCGCTATTCAGAGGTTGAATTCGCTATGATTTGTAGCGCTTTTGGACGCTACTTATATACGATTTTTGGCTACTAGCCAGCGGACCCTTGGCCGCCCTATTCTCCTCACCCCTTTATATAATTTTTATTATATTTTATCAATCTTACATTTTGTGTTTACAATTTGTGCATCAAACGTCAATACCATCTTTAATTTACATTTCTATTATGATGTGTGCGCTGCGCGACGTGCGGTTTAGGAATATTTCGCGATTTCGCGGATCGCGCCTTTTATATGACCTCGCTCCCCTTCCCCCTCATATATATATAGCGCGGGAGAGCGAGGTCGCGCGTCAGTCGAACGAATGCTGCCGCGCAACGCACATTACAATTATTATTACATATCTACAAATGAAATGATACTATAAAAAGATCCCTATGTATTTTGGGATCTATTTTTTATACTATATTCTATTCTGTTTCTATTTGCCGACCTATTTATTTTTAGGGGATTGAAACCACAACCATTATAATCATTTATTTGTCAAGCATTTTTGTAAATAATAACATAAAGAACTTAAATTTCTATAAACTTATCCCTATCAAATCTATTAATCTTAAGGTGTTACTATGTAACAATTGTACTATTTATAAATTTGCTATATCTAATCGAACTTATTTCTACAAACTATGACTATATATAATCTTTAAGCGGTGGTCCGGAACATTATTCTCCCGCCGCTGCAGCGGTCGTCGAGGGCGCTGCAGGAGCCTTGTCTGGTTCCGGAGCCCGCTCTTCACTATCAGCAACTCCCGTTGGCAGGACCACGAGTCGTTTGGTTGGCCTCCTCAGCACGCCATTCTTGGTCTGGATGTCGGCCACTCGGATGACGCCGTCTGGGCCGGGAAACACTGCTATTACTCTCCCGCGCGGCCATGTGTTGCGCGGGAGATTGGAGTCGACGATCAGGACTAAGTCTCCGATGCGCAGAGGTTGCCCCGTGCCGCGGGGCTCCCGCCGGTGTTGAAGTTCCGGTAGGTACTCCCGGAGCCATCGGCTCCAGAAGTGGTCTGCTAGCCGCTGCGCTCTCTTCCAGTGACTCCGGCTATCGATATCGGTGTCTTCAAAGCTTCCCGGAGTTTGCACTTTGCCCGATCCTCCCAGTAGAAAGTGGTTAGGCGTGAGGGCTTCCTCGTCGTCCGGTTCAGTTGACACATGTGTGAGCGGACGGCTATTCACGGTATATTCCGCCTCACACAGCAGTGTGACTAATGTTTCTTCCGAAGGGTGCCGCTCATGCAGTGTGGCGGCTAATGCTGTTTTCACGGAGCGGACGAGACGTTCCCACGCTCCGCCCATGAATGGTGCGCTGGGGCTGATGAACCGCCAGCGTATACGATGATTAGCCGCGTCTTCGCGACTTGCTTCTATAGCGGCGCGACGTAGCTCTGCGTCTGCGCCGTGGAAGTTGGTCCCATTGTCGGACCAGATCTCGGTTGGCTTCCCTCGTCGGGCCATCATCCGCCTGAGTGCGGATATTGCGGAGTCTGTAGACAATGAGGTGGTTAACTCTAAATGTACTGCTCGCGTTGTCAAGCATGTGAACAACGCGACGTAGCGTTTGTGGTGTTGTCGCCCCACGGTGACACTAAGAGGCCCGAAGAAGTCCACGCCTGTGTATGTGAACGGCCTCTGGTGATGGGCGAGTCGGCTGACCGGATGGTCTCCGGTGGGCGGGATCGATGCTGTTGCGCGTCGTAGTCGGCACAGTTGACATCGCTTGACGATGCTGCGAATTGTCGGTCTCGCTCGAAGTATCCAATAATGCTGTCGAGCTTCGTTCATCACCAACTCGACTCCGGCGTGGTGATGCGTTCTATGCACCCAGTCCAGGTACAACTGGGTATATCGATGATTCCCATCCAGGACTATCGGTTTCTTCATGCTGTCTGTAACATCGACGACTGCTGCTATTCTTGATTTCAACTTGATATAACCGTCTTCTTCGATCACCGCTAGTGGTTTCAGTCGGCTATTGTTATCGACTGTCCCTTTACCGCGGAGTGTTTCTATTTCGTTCTTGAACGATTCTTGTTGCGCGGCCCGTATCCACAATTGTTCCGCGCGCTGTATATATTCCGCAGTTAATTTGATGAAATTTCTTTCTTCACTATTGTCGAACCTCGGCGCTGTCCGTACTATTTTGCGAGCTGTCTTCTTATTCCACGCCGGGTCCTTCTCTATATTGCGCGCTGTGCGCCTATAATGTACAGCGTTTTGTGAGGCGGTGTTTTTTCTATTTTCGACCGCTTCGCGTAACCGGTCGATGAACTGCAACACGCGTGCTGTGGCTCGTAGTAGTCGCAGCCATGACGTGAAGCGTGTGATGTCCGGGAGTACGCCGCTGTCTGTTGTGTTGCTATCGCCTGTGTATACCATGTGCGTGCGTTCTTCTCCGGTGTCTGTTGTTATACCACCAGACTCATCTTGCCCGGGCCATTTTTCCTGCGGCTTGTATAGGAACTGGGGTCCGGTGAACCATCGATGTTCCGTGTCGAAATCCGTGGGCACTCCTCGAGTTGCGTCATCGGCCACGTTGTGACGCGTAGGTACCCATTTCCATTCGTTCGCTTTCGTTTCTTCTTCTATTTCCGCGACTCTATGCGCCACGAATGGTTTGAATGTGCGTGGACCAGCCCTTAACCACGCTAATACTGTTCTTGAATCGCTCCAGAAGTATCGACGGTCCGGTTTAATCTGGTATTCTTCTGTAGCCGTACGTGCTAACCGGCAACCCAGGACAGCGGCTTGCAACTCGAGTCTTGGTATAGATACTATCTTCAGAGGTGAAACTCGCGCCTTGGCTATGGCGAGTGTCACGTGAATGTTGCCGTCCTTGTCTTGCACTCTCCAATACACGGCGGCGGCGTAGGCGTTCTCGCTTGCGTCTACGAATGTGTGCAGTTCCCTGGATGACGCGCTGCTCAGCTCCGGATGACATCGTGGCACGTTGATATGGCGTAAATTGACTAAGTGCTGTGTCCACTTCGTCCAGTCTTCGGCTAACTTCTCAGGCAATTTCTCGTCCCAACCGATGCCGATTCGCCATGTTTCTTGTAAAATGCCTTTCGCTTGCACGGTGACGGGTGATGCTAATCCTAGTGGGTCGAAGAGAGACATGACCGTCCGGAGGGCTTCTCTCTTCGTCGGTGTGCGACTTCCGTTGACTATCTCTTGCGGAATTCGGGCCATATTTAAGTTGAAGCCCAATGTGTCCGTGGCGGGCCTCCATGTGAGGCCTAATATTTTCTCTTCTTTGTCGGCTCTATCTATGGAGACGGTCCTATCTTCTATTCTTGTGCTGTTGTATTTTTCTTGTAGTTGTGGGCTGTTCGATGTCCACTTCCTTAAATGGAATTTTGCTTTCCTATGTACGGTGTCAACTTCATGGGTGATTTTCATAGCTTCTTCCTCCGTTTGGAAACTTTGAAGGTAATCATCCATATAGTGGTTATGGATAATTGCGTCGGCTGCTCTTGGATATTGTTCCTTGTGTTGTTCTGCGTTGTGGTTCTTGATGTACAAAGCGATGCACGGTGAGCAGGCGGCGCCGAAGATCACTGCCTTCATTCTATATTCGCGGGGTGGTCCCTCCCGCCGGTGTTGTCGCCACAGGAACCGCAGGACATCTCTATCTTCTTCGTTGATTTCTATTCGTAGAAACATTTCTTCTATATCTGCGGCGACGGCTATTGGATGTTGTCTGAATCGCATTAACACCCCTGGTAACGATTGAAGTAAGTCCGGACCGGTCAGCAGATGATCGTTGAGTGACGTCCCCTGGCGCGAGCGGCTGCATCGAAGACTGGACGAACTTTCCCCGGCTTAGCTGGATGAAGCACGGGAAAGTGCGGAAGATACCAGGTGCGGGCGTCCGATGGGGTGGTGGCGGCTTCTTCTGCGTAGCCTTTTTCTATTAGGAGCGCTATTTGTCGCTCGTATTCTTCTTTCAGCTGTGGATTCCTATCTATTTTCTTCTCTGTGCTGTACAGCCTGTTGAGCGCCGCATCGTAGTTGTTCGGCAACTCGACTTTATCTGTTTTCCACAGTAGCGATGTACTATATCCCCCATCTGGCAGAGCGCGAGTCTTCTTCTGTAGTATCTGTAGTGCTCGCTCTTGAGGGTCGGCGCGTGTCTTTCTTGGCAGCACGCCTAGTGATTCTATAGAGAAATATCTTCTTAATTCCTCTTCTATTCTATCCTCGGCCCCCTCACGTATATGATATACATGGTGGACTTGATGGCCGAGACTGCGAGTGGACGCTCCATGCAGCACCCATCCGAGCGGAGTTTTCGATGCGACTGGTTGTGACGAAGATCCTCGGCGAACTTCTATGGCCAGTAACAGTTCCCAATTGTCTTGGCCGATGAGGATCGTTGGTGTGGCGTCGTGGTAACACAGTATCTTCTTGATGCCAGCCAGGTGTTGACATCGTCGGATATCCCTTTCTTCTATTTGTTGTTTGGCGAGTTTGAGTCCCTTCATTGTCCTGGCGGAGATCTCATACTCCTCTTCTGAACCGCATAACGTTAGAGTTACGCGTCTCGAGCTATTTGTTCGAACCGTTGCGCCGGCCAGTGCTTCTATTTTCAGTGGTTCTGTCGGCCCCTCCGCGCCGACTCTTGTGGCTATTTCCTCATCTATGAGGGTGACGGTAGATCCATCGTCGAGGAGGGCGAAAGTGTCGATGCTGGCCCGCGGTCCGACTATTTTCACCGGCAGTATTTTGAGATAACTGCGCGGTGAACGTGTGAGCGAGATGCCTGTCGATACTGTTGCTGTCTCTGTCTTCTGTGTCTCGCTCGTTGCTCTGTAGTGCAACAATTTATGATGCATACGTGGACAGTCATCTATTCCGCAAGTCTTCGTCTTGCAGTTATGTGTCTGTGTTCGATATTGTAGGCATCGGAAACACAGACGTTGCGCCTTCGCTATTTCCCAACGCCCGTAGCTATTTTCTTTCTTGAATTTTTCACACTGTTGCGCCGCCGTGTGCGAATTTGATTTGCACACGGGACACGTTGGCTTGTGGCGGGGTGGGCTGTCCGTCTTGCTCGCTGTATGTGTTCGCTGCGGACGGATTTGAACACGACGACTTTCCGACGGCTTCGGTTTGTCGTCCATGCTTGCTATCTTCATGGGTTCGGCGCTTACGCTATAAATTTCAGCTTCTATCTTCACGAAGTTGTAATACTGTACTAAATCCGGTACGTCTTCGTGGGCTTGCTGCTGGCAGTAAACATACCACCTATGTCGAATGTTCGGCGGTAGTTTTTCTATTAATAACTTCGCCACTTCCGGGTTGTATAGGAAGTTGATCTTCTTCAACGTCTTCAATGACACGATGCTATTCTTGACGGCTGTGGCGAATCTGCAGAATTCCCCCGGTGTGTCCTTCGGTGGTGGAAGACTCCGCAGCTTTGCTATTTCGACTTCTGCTATGTTGTTCGGTCGACCGAAGGTGAGCTCCAACTCGTGCATGATCTCTTCGGCCGGCGTGTTTGCTATTAGGAGGCTCTTCATTGCTGACCTAGCCTCCCCTCGTAAGGCTCTCCGGAGCCTTTCTATGTTCTGCGACGGCGTTAGATACCCCGCAGATTCTTCGTAGGCTGCCTTGAAGGCCAGCCAATCGGTATGCGCCCCGTAGAACGGTGTGAGTTCCCCTCTATACTGTGCTGCTAGGGGACCCGACGTTGACGCTTGTGGGTGCGGCGCGACGGCCGCTAGCGACGATGTAGTCGCCCTGACGATTTCGGTTACTGCAGTTGCGAGATCACCAACTTGAATGGTGTCTGTGGGTGCCAACCGTTGGTGAGTTTCTATGGTACCCCGAAGCGGCTCCTCTATTCTCGCCGGTGTGGGCCTCTTCGGAGGATTCGGTGGTGCTTCTGGTGGAGGCGGTGGTGGCTCGGACTGCTGCTCGAGCCATTCGACGACCCTATTGTGGCCGTCTTGCGATGCTGGTTCCGACGGTTCTTCGTCTTCTTCTCCGAAGGCTTCCAGTCGGGCTAGCTTGGCCTCCGCCAACTGTAATCGATAGCGAATGACCTCTTCTCGGGCGATAGCGATTTGTTTCTGTCTCTCCTTTTCTCTATCGGAGAGCTGTGATCGCGCCGTTGTTTGTTGAACGACGGTTTCTTCGACGTCTTGTGTCCCTTGTGGCGACCTCGGCGGTATGCTATGTCGAATAGGGAACGGGTTTTCCCTCCGCGGTGGGTCTTGGACCTGTTCTGCATCTGTTTGATGCTCTTCTGTCTTCTCCTCTTGCATCTTGCCAGTTCTGCTTCGTGTGACGGGCATCTTCTATTTTGTCTTCTATTCTTCTTGATCCGGCTCGAAGGACCAGCAGATGTGCTGGCCGCTGCCCCCGGGAGTCGGAAGGCGCGTCGGCAGGCACCGAGTCGCTGGTACGCCCGGACGTCAATCTATCCTCCTCGAGGTGAGAGAGTGCCCTTTTCAAAGCACTCCCTACCTGAAGGGCCTCAATCAACGCCGCGGGCGCGTTGCGGGTGAAGGACCAGGTGCCTTTTTATAGGCACCACGATGATTCGTCCTGAGAAGGACGTTTAAACGATGCTGATGCGACGGTGACACGATGCGATGACACGATGCGTGAAGAGGATTGTGATGACTATACTTAACGACGGTGATGATGGACGGGCAGTGAATGAGAAAACGGTTCTTGTGGTTCAGAATGCAGAGGCGAGGAGAATTTCTTCAGTGGTTGATTCCTTTTCAGGTCGATTTCGCTATCCGAAGATCAATGTCGCTATTCAGAGGTTGAATTCGCTATGATTTGTAGCGCTTTTGGACGCTACTTATATACGATTTTTGGCTACTAGCCAGCGGACCCTTGGCCGCCCTATTCTCCTCACCCCTTTATATAATTTTTATTATATTTTATCAATCTTACATTTTGTGTTTACAATTTGTGCATCAAACGTCAATACCATCTTTAATTTACATTTCTATTATGATGTGTGCGCTGCGCGACGTGCGGTTTAGGAATATTTCGCGATTTCGCGGATCGCGCCTTTTATATGACCTCGCTCCCCTTCCCCCTCATATATATATAGCGCGGGAGAGCGAGGTCGCGCGTCAGTCGAACGAATGCTGCCGCGCAACGCACATTACAATTATTATTACATATCTACAAATGAAATGATACTATAAAAAGATCCCTATGTATTTTGGGATCTATTTTTTATACTATATTCTATTCTGTTTCTATTTGCCGACCTATTTATTTTTAGGGGATTGAAACCACAACCATTATAATCATTTATTTGTCAAGCATTTTTGTAAATAATAACATAAAGAACTTAAATTTCTATAAACTTATCCCTATCAAATCTATTAATCTTAAGGTGTTACTATGTAACAATTGTACTATTTATAAATTTGCTATATCTAATCGAACTTATTTCTACAAACTATGACTATATATAATCTTTAAGCGGTGGTCCGGAACACCATTCCTAAAGGTTCAATTAACGCGAGCGAAGCCGCGGGCAATAGCTAGTTAACAGCTAGAAATAAAGTTGTGACACTTTTGAAAAGGTTATAAAATTACCTAGCCGTACTATAGGTATAGTTTATGGTAGGTTCATTCCACGTTAATCCCGTACCGCTATCGTTTACAGCACACCGAGTTTATTGGGTGGCGAACTAAATCGCATTATACACGGTTAATTATTCGCTTCTTTATGTGGATGCGTACCACGGATATAGAAACTTCTAGAAAAGATACTTCGCTGCGCTTAATGTTACCGGCGTATTTGTTTTATATCACACGAACGCCTACCTACTATTTTTTTAGATACCTACTTTTTTTAAGATATATTGTTTTATACTTTACCTCCGCGTCTGTTTCTAAAATTTTCAGCTTATTATAAAAACAAAAATTTGCCAAATGTAAGTAAATAATAATGTGTCGTCGCGATCCTTACATTGAAAAATTCAATATTTATATACAATTGACCTGCAGTAGTAATGACGAAATTAACTAGCGAAGATACATAGAGGAGCTTTTGTATATCATCCCAATAGCATTTGTTCGAATTTCGATATCCTGTAAAATGATCTCAATCCGAAAATATTCTGCCAACTCTATCAAATAAACACTGCTTTTGTTCTAACAATAATATTTCACAATTAACAATTACAGTTTAACTGTTTTTAAGTGTAATTATTCCTAATTGCGATATAATTTTCAATAATTACTTATATACCGATTGAGACCGTTTTAATGAGACCATTTACTTGTGTACTAAAAAGAAATTCGTTCAGAGTGCCATAGCATTGTACTACTGAAAAGTTGTACTACTCAAAAGTCAACATTATGAAGCTGGCTATGTATTTTATTTATTTATTTATTATATATGAAGGTATCCGCTGAAAACCTGCGTCGTGGCACCCCGTCACGACATATGCTGAGCGGAGACCTATTTGGTACTGTAATTATTAATATAAAAATGTAAATTAAAATTTAAAAATAATTTTCAGTTTACCAAATAAACAATTTTTTTCTTTCTTTTCTTTTGGACTGTAAAAAGCGAGGGACATATGACAGCAATTACCCTATATAATGCATGATAACGACTGATAGCAATAAATTGATGCGATTCTTAATTCAAAATCATTTATTCAATTAGAACCATTCAGCCCCTTGTACATATCATATTTTTATCAATACCCTCCAATTTCGCTAAC